TCTCAATGGCCTTGGTACACCAAATTTTTCTTTCCTTAAACCGAAAACTTTCAACTTTTCATTTAAAAGAAGCATTTTATAGCTTTTCTTTGGCATATCCCAAATTGCCAGCATTACTTCTCTTGTGCTTTGGGGGCATTATTAAGTGTGACTTTTTTGTTTGTTTTATTTTGTTTGTATTTTTTTCTTTTTGAGGCAGAGTTTCACTGTGCAGTTCAGGCTAGCCTCAAGTTCTTTGTAGCCCCGACGGTCCCGGAACTCAAAGTTCCTCCTGTCTCAGCCTCCAGGGTGCTGGAATTACAGCTATGTCCACTCTGCCTGACTTGGGAAGAAAGCATTATTAAGTAAATTAAGACTCACTTGACACAAGTAGGTGCAGTAGTTACAATTCCCAGGGCCCATCGTTTTAGAGTCCTAAAAAATGTCTTAATTACTTTGGAAATCAGAGAAAAAATTAATATAATCAAACTTTGATTATTACATCTTTATATACACCTTTATATCAATGATGCTATAAAACACAATTTTAAATATTTGTTTAAACTGGGCATGGTCATGCACACGTGTTATACCAGGGCCCAGAAGGCTGATAATCACAATGGCTGGCAAGTGACTAACGGGTAGGTAGCATATACAGCATGAATATGCTCAAAAGGATGATTCACATCCTGGTGGGATGACAGGGGACAGTGTGAGACTTCCTCACACTAGTCACACTGGCATGCAATTTAAAACAAATGAATTTTTTGTGGAATCTTCCAATTAATATTTTCTGACTGCAACTGATCACAGGTAACTAAAACTACAAAACATAAAGTCACATAGAAGGGGAACTTATTGCACATGATGTATTCAGAATCCAAAATCCACAGAAAAATAAAGTACACTAGTGTGTACCAGAGACTGCAATGGGGAGAGATGGTATGTGAATGTTACTGGATACAGGTTTTCCTTATAGGATGTGTAAAATGTTCTGAAATTAGATAATGGTGATGGTTGCACAATATATTTTTCTTCAATTTTTATTTTTATATTAGCACATGTTTATGTACATGATTATATTTGTCATGGTAGATTGGCACATGTACATATCACATCATAATTCTTTTTTCACCCCCTACCCTTTTCCTCCCCTCCACTTTCATGCCTTGGTTCTTTTCTCTTTTGCAAAATATCTACCTCCCTATTTCCTATTATCTATTTTTTTATTTTTCTTTATTTATATTTTGGTTTTATCATATAAAAGAAATCATGTGATATTTAAGCTTGTGTCTGATTTATTTCACTTCATGGTCTCAAAGTACATCCATTTTCCTACAAATGACTCAATTTTATCCTTCTTTATGGCAGAGTAGTACTCTGTCATGTATAAATACAACAATTTTTAAATCATAATAGCTATGTTTACTTAACCCGGTGTTCCCTATAAAGCATCACTCTAAGAAACTAGATCCAATGTTTATCAGCTAGATTACTTTAAGCAAGTTACTTAATCTTTCTCTGACTATCATCATCTATAAAATGAGGATAATTTCACAGAATTATTACAAGCAGTAACTGTATTAATATAATAAAGCATTTGGTAAAAATTAGCTTATGTTACTTATTACCATCTCAATTAATCCTCACAACAACCTCTTGAAATGGGTACTATTGATTATTCTCATTTTACAGATAAAAAAACTAAAGTAAAGGGAAAATAAACAGCTCACCAGGTTAGGTAGTTAGTAAGTGTCTAGCAAATCCAGGATTTAGAAGTCAGAAGTCTGGTTCTAGGTTCCCTGCTCTCAACTATTGCTATGCTCTACTTCATGTAAATCCAATACATCAAACCCTTGAATTCATAGTTATTTTTACCTAGGATAAGGCTCAATTATGTATTTAAGATTTTCAAAAATTGAATCAATTCAAATAAACTGTGAAGTAAAAACTATCATATCTGGTTCCTAAATAAGGCAAAATTTTCAAAGGAGCACATGAGTGAGTTTTAGAAAATGTTTGAGGAAGCTGGCAGTCAGCGATATGACAGAAGATACCTGTCACAATGTACCAGGTAAGCTACTGTACAACTTGATCAAAACCAGTATGAGGGGCTGGGGATTTAGCTCAGCGGCATAAGCGCCTGCCTTGAAAGCAGGCAGTCGTGAGTTCGATCCCCGGTACCAATAAAAATGAAAAAGACAAAAAAAAAAAAAAAACAGTATGAATTTTTCATACAATTACTCATCCGAGGCCAAAATTGTTCACCAGTTATCTAGACAAAAGAGAAGAAAGCCTGTAAAAGTCAGCAAGAGTCAATGTGAGGAGGAAATAGCCTTGATTAATATCAGAGGCTCTGGGATTGCCATCTCTTGCATTTTGAAAGTGAACTGGTCAACAAACCATCTGTTAGCTGACTTTCTACCCACAAACGTATGGGAATATGAGCAGGAAGACCTATCCATTAGGCACAGTAGTTCCAGTCCCCAGGGTCCATCATATCAGGGGTCTCTGAAAATGTCTTAATCTCTTTTGAAATCAGAGAGAAAAATAATATAATCAAGCCTTGATTATTATAGCTTTACATCAATGCAGTTGTAAAATACAACTTTAAATTTTTGTTTAAACTGGGCATGTGATGCATATCTGTAATCCCAGCACTCAGGAGGCTGAGGCAGGAAGATCAATGCAAGTTTAAGGCAAGTCTGAGCTATGTGCATTCAAGATACAAGAACAAGACTGACCCTCCCAAAAAGGAAAGGATCTAAAAGAGCAAAAATATCTAGGATCCACAAAACTCATAAGGTAACCCTGATACAGAGATGGATCTCAAGACCTCTCCCTCTTAAGTTTTCTAGAAACCAGTTCACCAACCTATACATGTAGGACACGTCCTATTAATTCCCTCAGTATAAGCAAGTGTGTATAAGCGGGCTGGGATACCCAGCACTGCCAGATCCTAGACCTTTGACTTAAGGAGACTCAGTGAGGCCTAGGTGCAAAAGGAAGAGGCTCAAACTAGTGTAAGAGGATGGGGAGACTCTCCGAATACAGGATTTATAAAGACTCTGAACACTGCTTCCAAAAAAAAAAAAAAAAAAAATCTTCTTCTGCCATTTCTGCCCAGAACACTGTTATTTACTCCTCTGAATTAAGAAACCAGTAATAGTTTGAAAAGTTAGCATACGCCACAGTGAAACAGCCAGTATGACTGCTGGCAAGTTGCTTGATGTCTCTGGGGTTAAATGTTTTGTGTAAAGATGGAAATAATAGCCTTTGTGGTTGTAAAAGTAAAACAGGATAAATCATGTACAGGGTCAAGCATAGGGCCAAATACGAAACGTTATTTGTATAATGTTAAAGGTATTAATACATCCTGTATACCTGCAAACACTGCCTAGTGGGCAAATTGTAATTATGCACTTTCGAATTTTAAAATCGCGCCCTTTAAAATTTGATACACTACTAGGGAGAAGGAACACTAGAAGATGGTTTTAGGAAAAGGGAGCGGGGAGAAAGAAATGGTAGTGGAGAGCTGGCAGGGAACTCTACCAGGGGTCTACCACACAGACCTGGGAAATGCAACGCACGCACGAGCTTTAGCCCAAGGAGGCTTTCTGCAGAACAGGCTTCTGGAAAGCGGGGTGCAGTAAGAATCGCAGCAACATTGCTTAGCAAAGGTTGCAAGCGCCACCTGACCAAAGCATAAGCATTCTCGGATGTACTAAGCATTTGGCAAAATTCTAACTTTGCATTCTGACTTAGGTTAATTACTAAAAATCTCATGTCCTTGGAACTTTTACAAACGGTACACAGGGTTTCTTTCAAAGTGCCTCTGAACACCCGAATTGCTCTGCGAACCCAGCCCCAAACTCCCGCTCCTGGAACGCTCGAGGTGGGAGGGGCGGGTTTGATTTCAAAGACTCGGAGCAAGCAGCCTTCTAGCCAACCGTTACATTTTATTAGCCCGATAAGGAATTTGGGGCGCAAATGGTACAGAACCAAGATAGTTCTATTCACTAGTCGCCAACTCCTAGCAGGAGAAAGTTGTGCTCACAGCCCAAGGCAAACTAAAGGAACTTGACTTTAGCGTACGTGGGCTGCTGAGGCTTCTGAGCTTTCCCCAGCCCTCAATCTCCTTTTTTTCCCCCCCTTTGGGCAAGTTCACGTGCAGAATATAGAACATCTAGACGTGCGCGGAGAAACACTCTGCCTGTACTTCACAAACTCCAGATGCTAATGTGAGGTCTTGCCCCCAGCCCCTAAACTGACCTTCACAATCTAGCACAACCCTTTTCCCTATTCGGATACTCAGTCTGAGTTGAGAATATGTAGTTCGGCTGCAAAATGCATCCAGTTTTCCGCACAACACGCCCACAACCCGTACTGTGCTCGCTCACACGCTCGTCACACTTTATTTTCCCTCGCCGCAAAGCGCGCCACCATCAGGACCTACCCACTCCAAAAAGATACATTAGGAATTCTGATAGAGGGCGTATGACCTGGGAACTCGTGTATAATTTGAACCTGAGGGGCGCACTGTACCAGTATATAAGGAGTGCTGACACCCAGGCAGCAACGGAAAAGCGCGGAGCAGCCACCAGTTCGAGCTCTTTCCTCTCCCTCGCCATCACTGCAGAACTCTGCTCGAAGTCTGCAGAAGCGCACAACTTCCTCGACAGCAGTTTAAGACATGGAGCGTCTCCCCCAGCCCAGCCAAAGCAGCACTAGCTACAGCACCGTCGGAGCCCGCGAAAGAGAAATCGAAGAACAACTATATGGTCAGTGTTTGGAAGGGGCAGGCGCTAAGACGAACTCTAAGGCAGAAATTTTCTGTGGGAGACGCGGGGACGGGACGCTGCGCGACCGCGCCCGCGCCCGCGCCCGCGCCCGCGACCGTCGCCGCTACTCTTTTCTAGTGACCCCCTGCCTCTTACCTAAGCGCCGCAGGCTCCAACGCGCCGCTCTTCCTCTTTTGCCTCCCTCCTTTCCCAGATGTGCAGCCCAGCGTGGCCTCGGCGATGGGGACCGGAGGAGAGGGCGAGAGCAACACGCCCTCCGAACCTGAGCACGGAGCCGAAGCAGAAGTCAGCCTTGTGGCCAAAGCGCCCCGCACGTTGGACGGCGAGACCGTTGAGAATGACGGCGGCCACCAGGAGCCCACGGAGGCGCAGGAGGAGCCAGCCCCCGCGGCCGCGGAGGGGCCACAGTCCCCCGCAAAGAGGCGCCGCCGCCGCACCGTGTACACGCACTTCCAAGTGCAGGAGCTGGAGGCATTTTTCCGTCGCGTTCAGTACCCCGACGTGTTTGCTCGGTGAGTAGCGTGATCTGGAGGTGGCTCCCCGCTCTATGGGAAACTTTTCTACCTTCTAAAAGCCCGGCTCTGCCGTCCTGAGCAGAAGCCTCCAGGGGCTCGAGGGCTCTGAGGCCCGCCCTTGCGGTGGGGGCGGGGGCGGCGGGCGGCTGTGGCGGGCGGCTGCGGGCGGCTGTGGCGGGCGGCTGCGGGGGGCAGGCGGGAGGGGGGTCTGCGAGGTTTGTTACACTAGTGGGGGGCGACTACGGTGAAGCGTGTGCGGTGGGGGCAGATTTTGCCCATATTTATAAAATTTTGGTAATTTGTTCATGTTGAGTTATTACACTAATTTTGGAAACTTTAGTGTATTGAAGTGTTTATTCGTATTACTGAGAGTTTTTTAGAGTCCTCTATAGTTTTTGTTTAGTTGCTTCGTTTTTGGTTCTTGGTGTTTTGGTTTGGTTTGGTTTCTTGTTTTGTTTTGTTTTCATTTTTGACCCTTAGATTTCGCTCCCAAGGCGAACCCCTATTATTTTATCGCACGCTGTTCCTGGCCCTGCGGTATAAGGACGTTTTCTTCCACACCAACCAGTAGAGTTTTCAGCTTTTTAAACTTGTGACACCGTCATGAAAGGCCCGGATATTTTACACTAAACCCAAGAATTTGAGGTCTTTGTACTGACCTAGAGCCACAGCAGAGCTCTTATTTTTATTTTATTTTTAATATTTTATTTTATTGTATTGTATTGTATTGTATTGTATTGTATTGTATTGTATTGTATTGAGATAGGGTTTTGCTATTTTATCCAGCCTGGGCTGGAACTTGTGATCCTCCTGTCTCGGTCAACCAGAGTGCCAGGATTATTGGTGTACATCACCATGCCAGGCTCCTGGGAGCCTTTGTGATATCTTCCCAGTAATGTATGGAGAGGCAGGCCTATTCTGGCACAAGCTAGAATAAGGGACCAGGCTCCCAGATGTGGGAAATTTCGATACCTTCTCTTCCTCCACTGTATTTATGCTGCTGTATCCTGCCAAACAGCAAAAAGTAATTGCCATCGTGTGCACTAAGGCAGTCCTGGTTTGGAGTCCAGTCTTTTAAGAGTTCATGCTCTGGTTTATAATAAACATAAATATTCTGATGTGAAATAGAGCTTTGCTAGGCACATTGGTACATGCCTGTAACTAGAGAAACTCCTGAGGCTGAGGCAGGAGGATTGAAAGTTGTACCACAGCCTGAGAAACCCAGAGAGACTGTCTCAAAATTTCAAAAGAAAGAAGATAGCTTTCCCAACTCCCTTGAACCCCAGGGTTGTATCTAAGTACTGCAAGAGAAAAAACAAAAGATCCCTGTGGGATGTTAACTGTGAAATTCACAGTGAACTGTGAAGGCCTTGGTTTCAATCCCCAGTACTGAAAAATAAAGTGTTCTAAAGGTGCATTGATTTTTATATTTTGAGACAAGGTTTATATGTAACCCAGGCTGGCCTCAAACTCTTAACCTTTTGCCTCAGCTTCCTGACTACTAGGATTACAGGAAGTCACCACCACACCTTTCTGGCATTTTATTTTGCATGGAACCAAGAAAAGTCTTCTATGAGCCAGGGTTTTAACTCAGCAGCACAAGCACCTGCCAGGCAAGTGCAAAGTTGATCCCTGGTACCAAAATTAAAAAAAAATAGACTTCCATGGTTGTTCTCTGAATTTCCACAAACAGAAAAATTGAGTTATACTCAGTTAACAAATGTACTACTCAGACACTTTCATATGTATTTCCTTTTTTTCTTATTTAATGGGTGAGTTGTCCGTGGGAATTGCTTTCTCTAAACAAAACCTCAAGGTGTACTACAGAAAACTGCTGCATGAGGAGGTAGGGATGGAAATAATGTGCATCCATATATTTCATTTTAGCCGTAACTCCAAACAGTGATCACTTTCAATTTTCCCCTCACAGAGAGGAACTTGCTGGACGCCTGGATTTGACTGAAACCAAAGTGCAGGTCAGTAATCTTTTTTTTTGTTGTCTTTTTCATTTTTATCGGTACCAGGGATCGAACTCACGACTGCCTGCTAGCAAGGCAGGTACTTATGCCGCTGAGCTAAACCCCCAGCCCCCGAGTAATCTTAAAAAGGCAATTTTGCAGGACAGCCATTCAAAAATATATTTTGACTAAGTTTTGTCCTTGGCATTCTCAATATGGTATGTTTTTTGTTGTCTTTTCCATATTGGGCATTTTTTTGGTCAGTTCTAGGGTTTTTACCCAGGGTCATGAGAATGCTACCGGCTTGCTTGACAAGTGCTCCACCAATGAGCCACACGCTTAGCACTTCTTAAGGGGAAAAAATTGTCTTTTTGAGATAAGGCTCCACTCAGAAGCCGAGGCTGGCCTCAAACTTGCAGCAATTCTCCTGCCTCAGCCTCCTGAGTGCTGGGATTACAGGCATGCACCACCACGCCCAGCCAAAAATCTTGATAAACAATTTTTTTCTTATTTTGCCAGTGTAGTAGACCTGTTTTAAGAAGTCAGAGTCGGGAAAACTGATTTACTATGAACCTGCACCCAAATCTGCCATCTGTTGGCTTCGGTTATATTTTGGAAGGTTTTTATTAGTGACATATTCAAATCTGTCCAAAATGAGCTCTGTTGCACAACTCTTGTTCATATCATGTATTTATGCAACAGAAAGACTCCGTTCCTAAGGTGAGAGAGAGAAAAAGTAGCTTCTGGCAGGGAGAGTATGCCCTTTGTTTTTGTAATTTGTAGTTTAGGAGCTTCCAGAAAGATTATATGCAGTGTAAAATCCCTAAAAGATTAGTAAAATCTAATTGAGGACTTGATTCTGTTTGTTAATAGTAATAGATGGGAAGCTAGGTGCCTTACCACAGTGGTTCACAGTGATTTCAATCCAAGAACTGAATGCACTGACCATGTTTTGAGCCCTGGAAAGGTTGGAAGGTGAGCAGAGAGGAGTGCATGAAATTAACAGTGGTGAAAATGAAACTGAAGTGGTGAAAATTAACACATCATAATTGCTTTCTCATCCCAATTTCTTGTCTGGCAAAGGATTGTAGAGTTTAGAGAATTTAGACACAAACGAAACTTTCATTAGCATTAAAGATTAAAATATCAAGGTGAAATCCTGGACTTTGGCAACTCTCATGTCCCAGCAAGACAAGCCACGAAGATTCTAGGACAACATGATCAGTCTGCCATGATCAACTACCACTTGTTTATTTCTCAAGAAGTTTCAGAGGAAGAATGAACCTTTAAACATCCTAGGAGGAAACTTACCCAAAGAGTTTACATGCTTCTTGTTATTAGTTACTTCAGTCTAAAATCAGGCTTTCCTTTTAAAAAGTGAGTGGTTCCCCTCAAAAAGACTTGAATTAAGTACCTCTTTTTTCCCCCATGCTTACCTCCCCTAGCAATTGGGCTGACATTATTTCTGGTGAGAAAGGGACAGGGACAGCTGGATAGCTGTTGATCGAACATTTATTTACTTTTATTTATCAGGCTTTAGCATTCATAGCGGGAGCCTTATGTAGTTCATCAGCATCCAAGATCTTGAAAAACCACTCTTGTTAATATTTTAATAATTAAGGATTTAAGGAATATTAAAAGTGGAACTGGAAAGATACAGTAATGTGCCAAGTGCTGGACTATGCTTAGCTCACTAAGAGTTGGCTGAAGGTAGGACCTGTTTACTCTCTTAAGATATTATTATAAATAAATAGCTTTACAGTTGTAGTTTTATTTTATAAAAAAACAAACCATATAAGAGAATTCATAACCAAATAAGAGAATAATAATAGTTAATACATTGTGTATAGTTATCTTCAAAGTAGACACAGAGTACAAGACATAGACAAAAAAGATTCTTGCAAAGAAGAAATAAGCAGTTACTTGCACAGAACATTTTTCAATGAACTAAAAGAAAATGGTATTATAAATGAAACAAATTAGCATATACATTAAAATATTTTTGAAACAACATAATAGGTAATTTGGGAAGTGATGCGAACATCTCCTTACTATGTATTTACATTTCTTCCATTTTGCTCTTTGTGTGTGTGTATATATGTATACATTTCTCATATAAGAGAAACCATGCAGAATTTAAGCTTCTGTGTTTGAACTTATTTCACTTAGCATTATGTTCTCAAGTTACATTCATGTACCTGTGATTGCCTCAAGTTTATTTTTTCTCTGGCAGAATTGTACTCCATTAGATGTAAATAGCACCTTTTCCTTACCCATTCATCTGTTGATGGTCATTTACATTGGCCACGAATGAAATGCAAATTAAAAGCACTTTGAGATTCCATCTTACCCTTGAAAGAATGGCTATTATCAAAAAACATAGTAATAACAAATACAAGCAGAATATGGGGGAAAGGAACTCTTTTACGTTGTTGATGGGAATGTAAACTAATACCTCCACTATGGAAATCAATGTGGATATCTTCAAAAACTAAAAATAGAAATTCCATTTGACCTTGCTATCGCCCTTCTAGGTATCTTTCCAAAAGAGTTAAAATTATATTACAAGAATACATACATGTCCATGCTTATAGCAGCCCAATTTACAATAGATCTTAGAAACAGCATACATGTCTAATTGATTTTTATTAGTACATTTCTATAGTACATATTGATTACATTCTTGTGGTGAGTTGACACATGTACATAACACATCATAATTCTTTTTTTATCCCTTTCCCCTCTATTCCTCCCCCTCCCCCATCTCTTAGTCACCTTCCCTTTTGCAAAAGATTTATCTCTTTTTCTTATTATCTTTTTTTATTTTTCTCTTTATTCATATTTTGGGTTTCTCGTGTAAGATAAGTCATGTGATATTTAAACTTGTGTGTCTGATTTATTTCACTTTATGGTCTCAAGATGAATCCATTTTCCAACAAATGACTGAAGTGTATCCTTTTTATGACAAAGTGGTAGTGCATTGTATATAAATAGAGTACCTCATTTTCTTCGTCCATTCAGCTCTTGAGGGATACATAGGCCACTTCCAAGAATTAGCTATCATGAATTGCACTGCCATCAACATGAGTATCCATATGTATTATGTAATAAGCTTCTGTGTTTGGACTTATTTCACTTAGCATTATGATGTCTAGCTTTTGGGAAGATACTTAGAAGAGAAGTAGCTATATGTCAAATGGAACTTCTATTTTTAATTTTTCTGAGTAATCTCCATATTGATTTCCAGTTTAAAATCTCAGTGGAATACACAGTTAGTTAAACGTTGTGTTTCTTCTTTTATGACATTCACTGGTCATATATCAAACCAATTATTTTTTCCTACTGATTGCAGGTTTGGTTTCAGAACCGAAGAGCCAAGTGGAGACGACAACAGAGGGCACAGGTGTTGGGAAATAGGCCTCCTGTATTCCTGGGCCCTGGCATGGGCATAGTCTTGAATAGTCCCTATAATGCTATACCTGTTGTGGAACCTGCTTGGAGATATGGTCCTGTAAGGCCACCACCCTTTGGGCCCCCTGTGCTGCCTGTGGTACCTTTGCCACACAGGCCACTGATGATGCATATTCCTCCTGGAGCACCTATGCCTCCCTTTGGCATGCCCCCTGTAGGTGTGGCATGGCGCCCCATTAACCCATATCCTTTCAGAAATCCCGTTTTGTAAAGTTTCATAACAGTTTTCCCAAAGGTTTTCTGCCAGTTATAAATTGTTGCATAGCACACCACCTGATTAGTTTGTTAAATACTTGTTAAATAAAGTGAGTAAACAAAGCTAGTGTCTTGTTTTCTGTAGCCCACAATAAAAAAGACTATACAATACATATGTGAATTAGCAGGATGTTGATTTTGAGTGCCAAATAAGGTTAGTAGGATATGGGTGAAAATTGCTAAGGGAATGGAATTTGAACAGAATGATAAAGAGGCCCATTTTCATGAGCTAATACCTATAAGTAACCATCAAAAGGCCATTCACATCACAGTTTTCCAAGTGCCTGTGGTAGGCTTCTTCCCCACCTTCCTCACTCCTCCATCCTCAGCATCACCTCCCCTGTTAGGGAGCACATGCATATGCCAGAGGTGGGGAGACAAGTCTTTGCTGAGAGAACAGAGTTTCCAGGCAGGGCCAGGTTCCACTAATACGAAGGAGTTCAGGCCAAATTCTGGCCTCAGAGAGTAACCTCCTAAGCAGTTACTCAGAGATTCAAGGAAAGGTGGCAGCCAGACACCCACCCAGTACTCTAATTCTGTTCTTTGCCTCCATTTTGTGGGAATGATAGGGAAATAGGAGCCACTCTGGTACCAAGACCTGCAATTTCAAAGGAGACACAAAATGGACCTGCATCAAAGCCAGGAAAAGGTTCTTCCTTTCCTCATATGCAGGCCAGAAGCACCAGTTTTTGTAGCTCCTCCAGCTAAAACTCAGAGGATTGCACCTTCAAGTGTATTTTGCCGCCTTCAGCATGCTTGAGAGAATCTTGCTTCCTGACTGTTAAATGCCGAAAAGGTACCTTTTGGTATAGCACTGTTCAAAGCAAGACATAGTCTCCTGAATAAAGTTCTAGAATAATCACTCATTGAAAATCAGTCACCTAGGTATGGTGTTACACACCTGTAATCTAAAATACTCAGAAAGTTGGTACAAGAAGATCCCAAATTTGAGGTCAGTGTGGATAACCGAAAATTTTTTTAAAAAAATTTGAGTAGGCAACTCAGTGATAGAGTGCTTACTTAGCATGTGTGAGGCCTCAGGTTTAATCCCAAGCATCACATTTTTAAAAAGTAAATAAAAACAAATAAAAGAAATAGATCTTTGCTTTGTTGATCCTGTCTTCATGTAAATTTCCCAGGGTAGAAAACAACCACCCAAAAATAGGGTGTGGGGGAAGGAGGCCAGATCTATTATTTGTTAAACATGTAACTTTTTTTTAGTAAAACTTGATTTTGAGCAATTTCTATCAACATATGGTAATTTTAATGACACAGTGTACTATGAACTGCTTGCAGCAGCTTTAGATAAGGGCTTCTTTGTTATACCAGAATCTCCTTTTACAGCAGATGAGGCAGGTCGGGGGGGGGGGGACATGTATCAAAGATAAGTTCCAAGCTGGTGCAGTGATGCATTCCTGTAATACCAGCTACTGAGGAGGCTGAGGTGGGAGGTTCACATGAGCCAGGTAGCTCAAGGCCATCCGGGTAACATAGCAAGAACTGTCTCAAACAAACAAACAGAAAAATGCTACCAATTACACAGCAGTTACATGCTCCCAGACAGATGCTTTCTCAAGAAATCATACAGGTTTTGCAGTGTTCTCCAATATTTTTCATTCCTTCCTTCTCTCCTTTCACACATATGGATATCAGACATCAGCAAAGTGGTTCTATCTAATGTGAGACTTCTGTTACAAGGAAACCATCAGTACCCCCAGAGACCCGGCCTCTTGAGAGGGAGGAACATCCAGATATGCACATGTGTGTGCTCATTGTCATCCTCACCAAGTGATTATGAAATCCAACCATTCCTAATTCATACTGTTGACTTCCTTTCTTGTTAAACATCAGGCTTTGCCATGCCTTAAATTGTCTTAGAACTAGAGGTCCTGTACAAACAAAAGTTCTAAATTCATTCTGGTAGCTCAGGCCTATAATCCCAGCACTCTAAGAAGTTGAGGCAGGAGGATCAAAAGTTCAAATCCAGCCTGGGCAACTAAATGACTTAGCAAGATCATGTGTCAAAATAAAAAAAAAAAATAAATAAAAAGGGACTGGAGATACAGCTCTATGCAAATGTCCTGGTCTCGATCCCCAGTACTTCCTCCAAAAAAAATTTCAGGACCCCAGCATGTCTTGACACTGTCATTTCAAAGCCAAACAACAGCCACCACACAAATCTCACAATGAACTGACATATCCAGATTGACACACATACAAATAGACCAGCTTCTTCATCTCAGGCTGCCTGAAAGAAGTAAAAATGTGAGTATTCTTTCCATAAGTGAAGTTTTCAACATTGATGCTATTTGAAAAATCAGATCTAACCCAGGCATAGTGGTGCATGCTTATAATCCCAGAAATCAGGAAGCTAAGGCAGGAGGATCACAAGTGAATTTGAGGCCATCCTGGATGGGCCACATATAGTGAATTCACTAGCCTGACCTACATAGTGAGACCCTGTCTCAAAAACCGAAAGTAATAGTGTTTCACCACAAGATAATTTCAACATTTTGCTTAAATGGCTATGTCTTGACCTGCGCTGTTTTGTTATTATGCCCTCTTTTTTTATCTCAATCTTCTTTTTATTATCTACTTTTTCATTTTTATTCTTTTAATTAAGGGAAAAATAAATAAAAAATAGCAGGTTATATTATAGTAATCCACATTGATTTCCTATTAACTTGATTTGAAACCCTGTATTGCTCTCACCATCTTGTTTTGACTGATTTTCCTCTATTCTATTATGCTTGATAGTACCAACTTCGAAAGTATAGGCAACAACTATGAAGACAATAAGATTCATTATGACGCCCATTCTGGTTGACTATTATCTTCTTTTGAAGTCCTCTAATGTCTCCAATGTTTTGGTTTTATTGGTCTTGTTCTTTACTATTTTGTTCAATTTTATTATAACTGATGATATAGGCAATTCTTTTTAAGATAGCAAGAGGCATTATGGTAACCATTGTTGATCACCTTGTATTTTGTTTTTACATTATGTATTATGTCCATCCTTTTGATTTGACTGACTCTGTCCTGTTATGTCACATTTGGTTTTACTTTCTTCAAAAAAAAAAAAGTAATAAGAACTGTGGGAGTAATAAAACCCAAAATGTGTAATTGTCATTGTACAAAAGAAAGGAAAAGAAAGTGTTCTAAAGGATATAACTGCATATATATATTTAAGTGTATAAGATAGATAACCATATTACTGAGTTTTGTTGGATCATTGAACAAAACTGTTTGCAGTCTCACTGTTTGAATATCCCCTCTATATGCTTTAATTTTGTCACTTGAGCAACTATTTCTAAGATGACAATATGTAATTAACTAGTTAGTGATTTCCTACTGTTTATTTTTTCTGAAATTCTGTATAACTTGTACCCTTTTTCTGTTTTTTTTTCTTTTTTCTCCTTAAATAAAATTAAAAAACAAAAACGAAAGTAATGATATCTATTTCTTCTAGGCCAGACAATTTAAGGAAGAGTGATGGCATAGAAATAAAGTGAATATGTAAATCATTTTTGTATATAAAATGTTCCCAATTGATCTGGATTCTAAAAGACAAATGTCTTCTAAAATAATCCCACAAAGAATACCACTCTAAAGTGCATTTCAAATATCCCTAAGCTGTAGATCACAAATTAATTATTCTAATATAAAGAAAATTCCTTAGTTTGTAAAAAAAAAAAAAACCTTTATAAGCTTATGATCAGCAAATCAGGAGGAGTACAGGAACTCCAGTATTTTATAGTAATAATTCTGGACATGCTCTGTTGTATAAAATTGTTTCTCAGTAAAGAATATATGCCAGGGAGCTTTTACAGTGGTAATTTTCATGGTCAAATCAAACAAGGAAAAGGTAAGAGCTATTTGTGGATAAAAGAAATCTTCTTAAAAATTAAAATGATTTATATAACCTGGATTTTGTTTTAAACAGATGTAATCAGAACTATGTCAATCTCACTTGAAAATGCCTGAAAAAATTCTAAACCATCATTTGAACTACTATTACTTAGAAAAAAAGAGAAACAAAGAAAGAGGGACAGGAGATAATTCTTTAGCTAAGAATACAGGGGTCTTCTGTGAGTGAGAAAAGTGGCTTCTTGGACAAAGACAGTAGCTGCTGTACATATATACAAAATGAAGGAATAGATTTTAACGTAAGATGTTTACAAAAAAATAGACATGCTTGTCTGAATTATAATTAGGAGATGTTCTACTCAAAATTGGGCATGCTCCTGAACACTTGTGGATGTATAACTTTTTTACCTTATCATTAGGATTGGTGTGAATACTCTAGGAATTTTTGAAAACCTAAAGTTGAAAGGTGGGGCCTAAATAGAGTTCTTTATTGTATTTCCTAATTGGTAAACCAACTTTGTCTAACTTGAATTCCTGTAGTACAGGATCTCCTATTGATAGAAGAGGAGTTGCACAAAATGACCAATAGAGATTGGACTGGAATTTCCAAACCCTGAGGGGACACATGCAATGCAAGCCATCAATAATATAAGTCTCATCAGAAACCCCTTTCCTGAGAATGTTGCATGAAATTATTTTACAAGGAAGATTCATTTGAGACTTTCCTAATGCTCCCTCCCAATTAGTCAAGGCAATAAGGTGTCTCAAAGATAAGGAACCCTTGACTCATTTCCTGTTTCTTAGCAAGCAGTTTCTTAACCTCCTTTGAAGTAGCTTCACACAAACTCACCTTAATTTGCTGAGATATCAACACTCATGAGTACAGCAGTACAAGGATGGAGTAACACAGTCTCATTTAATGCCACCCTGCAAAGCAAGTGTCTTTTTCTCTAGGAGGAATAACCGAGGAGCCTTTCACAGTCACCTAGTCCACTTCCTTCATTTTCTAGATGAGAGACCATGGGCTTGGAGCAGTGGGATGGCCTCTCCTGTCCCAGAGGGCATGCGGAATTCATCCCAAAGAAAGCC